ATAGGGCTGCTCTTTCATCAACAGACTTTCATAGGCTCTCTTCATGGCACCAAGCCTCAAGTCCTTTATATGACACCTTCAGTCCTGGGCCTTCAACTGCCACTGAGACTGCACCTTCACCAATGGCCTCTCACAGTCTCCCTTAGTGCCAAGTCTCAGCTGCTCTTTATGAACCCTCATGCCTTCAAAACCAGTACCACCTGGATGACTCTTATACATTACAAAGTCCAGCTGCCAGCATGAGGTACAAGTTTGGCCACCTCTGGAACACAGCTTCTCTGTGCTATCAGGAAACACTTCCCAGAAGATTTCACCTCAGTGATGCTGGTCTCTTCTTAATCACTGCTAATTTCTTAGTCCCAACTGATCAGAATCAAGTAGTCCAGAAAAACAGTTTAGCTTTAAGTAGTTCTGGTATCTTGTTAATCACAGCTGATTCTTTAGTCCCAACCAGAACTACAGACTCAATTCAAAATAACAAGTGGCCCTAATAGAGTCTTTAAACTTCCCTCTGAAACCTCACAAGCAAGGCCTCCATCATCTACACTGGTCTCAATAGTCTTATCTCCTAAGTTCCCACATAACATCCTACAGAGCTCTTAAAACTCAATTGTTCTTCTAGCCCAAAGTTCCAAAGTCCTTCTACAATCTTTCCCAAAACATGATCAGGTCTGTCACAGCAATACCCCATTTCTGGTACCAATTTGTCTTGGAGTTTCTATTGCTGTGATAAAACACCATGGCCAAAAAGCAAGTTGGGGAGGAAAGGGTTTATTTGGCTTATGCTTCAGCATCACTGTTCATCACTGAAGGAAGTCAGGACAGAAACTCAAACAGGGCAGGATCCTGGAAGCAGGAGCTGATGAAGAGGCCATGGAGGGGTACTGCTTACTGACTTGCTTCCCCTGGCTTGCTCAGCCTGCTTTCTTATAGAACCCAGGACCACCAGCCCAGGGGTGGTACCATCCACAATGGATGATGACCTCTCTCACCTCTAATTGAGAATATGCACTACAGCTGTATCTCATGGAGGCATTTCCTCAACTGAGGCTCCTTCCTCTGATGACTCTAGCTTGTGCCAAGTTGACACAAAACCAGCCAGTACAATAAGCTATATGCAAGAGCCTATAGTCAACTTTATAATAACAGTAAAATAATGAAAAACAGCAAAATAGTGAAAAAAATCTACAGTCACTTCCTGTTAAATGATACAATAGTGCTCACTCTCTCCACACTTCTTTAACATTATACTTAAGATGTTAACTAGAGCATGTTACAAGGGAAATACATAAAATTTATGCTAATGGGGCCAGAGACATGACTTAGCAGCTAAGAGTATTCTTTCAGAGGACCAGGGTTTAGTTTCCAGAATCTACATGGTGGGTACCCACAAACATCTTTAAGTGAAGTTCCAAGAGATCTGATACTTTCTTCCATTCTCTGTTGACACTGATCATGTTCATTGTTCCTACATGGATAACATTCACAAACATAAAATAAAAATTAAAAAAGTTAAAAGAGTGGGGAATAAAAATAAGAAGTCAAAGTATCTGTATTTGAGATGGCATGACTTCATATTAAGAACTTTAAAAGTCTACCCAAATGCTCCTAGAATACATCCAGCTAACTATCAGAATATAAAATCAGCACACAAAAATCAGCAGCTTTTTTATTTATCAATAAAAAAAATCTCATTTGTAGTAGTTTCAAGACTGTAAAATACCACAATATAAACCTAACCAAGGAGGTAAAAGATTTTTCTAAAATGAAAACATTATGCCCAAAAATTTATATAAAAAACTGAAATAAAACAGGATTAAAAGAAAGAAGGAAGGAAGGAAGGAAGGAAACTGGAGAGGATTTTAGGTAATAAGAGGAACTGAGATGCTCATGGTCTGCCAGAATTAGTCTCACAAAAACGGTAGTAAACTCCATTAAAATACCATTAATCTTCTTTACATAACTAGGAAGAAGAATTCCCCAAATTCACACAGAAATATAATGTCTCTTGAATATTCAAAGCAACTGTAGGCAGAAAGAGTAACTTTGGAGTTACATTATCTGATCTGAAACTATACCTCAGAGCCCCAGTATCAAAAGCAGCATGCTACTGAAGACTAGTTGAAAATGCTCTGCTGCTTGCTAACCTCTTCTGGATTTGAACTAGGTTATTTTCCTTGCAACCAGTTAGTTTGGTGAATAACTCCCTAGTTATTTTTTTTACCAGGAAAAAAAAAAAGCTCACATAAATAGAAATATATAGCCTTCCAATTTTTGATAAAGGCATCAAAAGCACATCTTGTGGACTCCACCACTATTTGTCCACAGTTCGTGGGTTTCCTCTAGTGTGGCTGGTCGTCTCTGTACATTTCCCATCATTTTCCTCGATGTCCCTTGCTTCTAGAATCCTTCCTCTCTCTCAACGAATGGATTCCTGGAGCTCGGCCTGGCGCCCAGCTCTGGATCTCTGCATCTGCTTCCATCAGTGACTGGCTGAGGCCCCCACGGGACTGGACTAGGCCCTCTGAATAGGTGAGACAGTTGCTTAGCTTGAACTGTTTGGAGGCCCTCAGGCAGGGGGATCGGGATCTGTCCCTAGTGCAGGAGTGAGCTTTTTGGAGCTCAGTGCCTAAGGTGTGACGCCTTGTACAGCCTTGGTGCAGAGGGGAGGGGCTTGGACCTGCCTCAACTGAATGGACCTGGCTCTGCTGACTCCGCATGGGAGACCCTGACCTGAGGAGGTAGGAATGGGGGGCATAGGTTGGGCAGGAAGGCTGGGGGCGGGAAGAGGAAGGAGGGGATATTCTGGGGTTGGTATATAAAATGAATAGAAAATTTCCTAATAATAAAAGAAGTAATGGCATCTGAAAAAGAAAGAAACATGAAGAGCACATAGAATGAAGAACCAAAAAAAAAAAAACAAAAAAAAACACATTGTGTAACAATTCATCTTTTCAACAAATGACATTGGGAAAACTGCAAATAGTCATATGAAAAATTAAATTAGATTAGTATAAAACACTGTGCATGGAAATTCAACTCAAAATGAATCAAATGCCTTAATTTTAAAATGTGAAGTTCAAAACTAATAGAGAAAAACATTTAAAAAATGCTTTAAGATATGAAGTTTCTGAATCTGCCTGTTCATTCATCTTAGAATCTATATGTTTCTGCAACTGTGGAAAACAGTTCTGAATTATTTATAAGTCTCCCTGTCTATACTTTCTTGACCAATAAGGCTAACTGGATGCACTAGGATCTGAATATGTATCAGCTGAAAATTCTCAGCTGCTTGCTAACCTGCACTGGATTTGAACTAGCTTATTTTCCTTGCAACCAGTTAGTTTGGTGAATAACTATCTGGTTTTGTGAGTTGTAGGAGAAAGGCCAACCCTATCTAACAAGATTAAATGCTGCACAATTTATCTTCATCTATATCATCAGACATTTTTTAAGGCATGCATGGTGAAGCCTGAGGTAACAAAACAATTTGTAAATAACTGTAGAATAACTGTCAAATATTAGAAAGGACCATGACCTGATTACACCTTTCCCCTTCCTAAGCAACTATACAAAATGATCAAGAGTAGAAGACGCAAATCTGTAAGGGATGGGAAGTTAGCTAAGTGTACAGAGATATATGCTATATGGCTCAGTGTATTGACACTCTTCTCTCTAAGATCAAATCTCTTCACATCCATCCCTAGAATATCTGTCAATAATGCAACTATCTTACGTTTATTTCTTGACATACAGAATTAAAATTAATGCAAAATAGTGGGCTAGGAAAACTGCTCAGTTAATAAACTGCCTGGCAGGCAAGAATGGTGACCTGAGTGTGATTCCCCAGCACCCATATAAAAGGCTGGGATTGATGTATAAACAAATACTCCTAACACTAGGAAAGTGGAGATGGGAGGACCAATGCAGCTGGCTTTCTGATCAATCACACTAGCTGAATGGGCAAGCTCCAGGCTCAATAATTGACCCTGTTTCAAAAAATAAGATGAAGAGCAATTGAGGAAAATATCCCCTATTTTTAATTAATCACTGGCCTGCACACTTACCTATGCACATATGTACCTGCAGCCACACAGACACCCACAAACCCACAAATTATGATGTAATATGCTAGAGAGGAAAGTAGATGAACTAACAATAAAAATATACAATGATATCAGGTGACAGGTGATGGCCAGGCTTTATTATTTTATGAAGGGCTTCTTTCTTTGGAATAGGCTTTCCATTGAGAAAGTGTCATTCGACCTTGATCTCCCTCTTCCAAGCACTTCTCTATAAGGATGCATATGAAGGATAACTGCACTGAAGAATGGAGGGAGTTCCATAGTTTCAAGGCTGGTGACTCAGCTGCTTAATGGCCTCAGCAAGGAAGTACTCTTTCTCTTCTCCTACATATGCCTCCTCCTCTAGCATCCTTGTGTTCTCAATGACCAAGGTCTGCAAGAGTTTCATACACTGTGTTTCCCTATCTGTGAAAAGAGCACACCACTTGGATGACACATTTTGGAATGAGGAATGTTCTCAATAGTAATATCCAAACTTCAAAGATCAAAAATGTTGTCCTTGATGGCTCATGGATGAAAACAAAGTATATCAAAAGACCATTTTAAAAAAGACTGCTTGTAGAGTGAACTTGATTGTCATGGTCACAATGCAAAATTTACTCACCTGGCCTATTTGAGATTTTACCTCTGTGTCACAGAGGATAGATTATGAGGGCCAGAAGAACCCCAGGTACCATATGACACAGACAAAATTGGACTGAATTTTGTTTGCAACCATGTATTTTTCTTAGTGCATTAGAAACATAATTTTATGATTTAATTACCTGCCCAAATAGTCCAATTTCCTCTGACTTCTCATTTTATGCTTTGTGGCAAAACCTAGAAACTCATCCTGTGACATTAATGTATTGAATACCAACTGGAATTGGGGAGTGTTTTTTATAATACTGTCTCTGTCATCCCAGAAAATTTGAGACAGTGTTATCTCATGTATTCCCGGCTGGCTCTGAACTTTTTATGCAGCTAAATATGACCTTGCCTCCAGTTTCCTAGGGATTGTAGGTATTTTTTAAAAAAATCACTATTTCTGGTTTATGTAGTGATGTGCATGGAATGCAAGGCTTCTATATGCTGTTAGAGCACTTCACCAACTAAGACGCACCCTCAGCTCAGGTCTTCACTCATTATTGATTAAAAAAAAGCATGACCTTTTAACCTCATTCGTGATAATATATAACTGGGACACAGGGACATAAGGGCGTTGCCCTGGGCCACAGCACTTTATAAATTGGAAAGAATTTTAGTGAGTGATAGAGCTTTCTGTAAAGAGCTTGGAAGCCTCTGCGTTCCAATAGCTTCCACATACACAGATCACATACAGGTCCTGCCCAGCGAAGGTAGGACCCGAACGGAGGCAGTATTAAAGGAAAGCACGTCTGAGTAGTGCTCAGCCTGGCCTCCATCACTCAAGCAGAGTTTGCTCTGGTAAGGTCTAGAGGTAAATGTAGATGTGTAACAGACACGGCAAGGCATGTGACAGCCGTGATGCTAGTGTGTTGCTAAGAAACTGTAGCTAGAGCAGGCAGGGAAGCCACACTGCCAGAAAGAGGCTGGCAACAAACTTCCGTGCTAAGACACGTGAGAAGCTGGTCAGGTCCAGCAACCGTATGTCTGTGCTTTTGTTCTCTTTTGTTCACTCGGCTTTGTATTCTCAATGATAGTTAAAATGGAGTCTTGTCTTTCACGGAGGCTCGAATTATTAAGCCCCGACTCTTTACATACAAATAGATGAATGGTATAATCGCATGCATGCCTCACATATAATCTCAATCCTTACAATGCATGCAAAGAACGTCCATTACCATTTATGCATGAGGAAATAGAACCGTAACACCATTAACTGTCATGTTTAAAAATAAACACAGGTGATTGTAAAACATTAGTCAAAACGCTGTTTCACACTATACTTTAATAACAATGCCCTGCAGCCCTGTTAAATGACCACTATGTGCTGTAGGATGAGTCTCAAGTTTCTTTGTTGCTCTAATAGTTTTGTGATGTAGGCCCTGACTCTTTCTAAATTTCTATATTAGCTAAACACATTTTTATGACCTTCATCCTAGTAACAATTAAGGGAGCGAACAAATTCACTGGCGTTTTTATTTGGGGCATGGTTTTGTACAGAAGGGTTGTGAAACCCTTACATTGAATTTTTTTTTTAATTATATATTCTTTTAGCTGGCACAATGGAGACTTGAGCCAAATAACTTGCCTTTAGCAAGGCAAGTGCCCTCTCAATCAACTGTGTCATCAACTCTTTCTAAAGCCTCATTTTGAGACAGGATAGCCCTGAATTTCCCAGGTTAGTTTATAGCCGGCCACGCTTCAGCTCTTATCTCCCCAGGAGCAAGCAAGATAAGATTGTGACTGTGTCTGCCTCATTTTCAGTTTTATCATAAACACATACTCTCTTGCTTTAAACGGTTAATGTAGAATAAGCCATTGGCACCAGGCTGGTTCTGGGCACTCCTCATTTGGGGATATTTGCCTTCAGAAATATTGTTGCTGTTATTGTGAGTCCACTCCATAGGAAAACTCCACACACCTTGTGACAAATATCAACATATGTTTTTTTTTTTTTTTTTTTGTGTGTGTGTGTGTGTGTGTGTGTGTGTTTGTGTGTGTGTGTGTGCTGTTGTTGTTGTGGTGGTGGTGGTGGTTGCTGCTGCTGCTGTTGTTGCTATTATTGCATGGAGTTGAAGATATGGCCACACACCTGTAGCTGATGTTCTTCATCCCTATTCAATGAAAATAATTTAGCTTCCTCATATATGGTCACTTTAGGAATAGTTCTGTCATACACTTTTGTTCTGCAGATTGGGATAGGGAGCTACAGAAACTTGCCTCTGAATCTGAGAGAAGAACAAAATAATAGGACTGTCCTGTTAGTCTTGACTGTTATTTTAAATAACAAGGCAGAAAGTGCTGTCTGGACCATGCAAACACCATGGTCATCTTGAAGACACCTAGAAGTAGATCACATGGAGGGAAAGAGAAGGACACAAGAAAAGACCAGCCTGGAGCTCAGCTTGTATTGCATTACTCCCCAACCTGGGGTACCGTGCTGACAAACCTGCAGGGCTTGGCACAGATACTTTTGATAAGTGGCAGTTTGATAAGTGGTCATAGATACAGACATTTCCTGATCTGCCTTATAGATACAGACATTTCCTGGTCTGCCTTATACCATACCTCAAAAAGCACCAACCTGAGATTATCAGTGCAAACCTGTAGTGAACACTAGTCAGGAATCTGAGATAGGAGGATTATGAATTTGTTGACAATCTGGGAAAATAAGCAACAAATGTGTTTATGATAGGGCCTCCTTAAGCTAAAAAATTCATATTTTAACATATCACAAGATATCAGAAATAAGTGTATATATCATGTTATGTATGCTTGCACGATTCTTAACTACATTGCTTTACCCTATGAATTAGATATATAGTTTCTGTGGTGAAGTTTGGAGAAAGGATGTAACATGAATATTAAATGAAACCTCATTAACAAAAAAGCAAAACTCAAGAGCAGTGTAACTCATGACCGTGTATAAAAAATAGTCAACAAATTGCTATCAGCTGTACACACATTGCCACAAATATACATACTTGGCATTACTGAGATAACTATACACATATCAAAGATACGTAAATATGAATAACATATAAATAGTGTATAGGGCGTGTCCAAGAAGAATTTTTCACAGTAGCACAAGGCATGCTTTTTCATGACAGATATGACCTCTAATTTACAAACCTGCAGACAGGCCAAGGAATACGAACGAAGCATTTTTGAAAAGGAGAGATGCATTAGATGAAACACGATACCTATTTGTAAGTCTCTCTATGAAGCTACAATAACCAAGTAGTTAACTAGTTGATTATTGGTTTGGGGAGTGATACATACCTCAACAGAGTAGAACAGAATGCAGAAATACAGTCACAAAGTATAGCAGATAGGATTTTGACAAAGAATATTATAATTCAGTGAAGAAAAAATTAGTCTTCCAATAAACTGTTAAAAATGAGTTTGTTACAAAACTGAAACATGATCTGTACTATAAGTCTGAAATTATAAAATATCAGGGCTTTCTTACTTTCCAATGAAATATTCTCTCTAAACTAAAATCACAACCATGATAGTCTGTGTAGATATAAAATGTAAAGGCATTTTTTTCTAAGGTGGCCGTACCTCCAGGGTGGCTAAGAGGTCTAGAAATGTATTGTTTCTGTGGTGTGTATGACTCCCTTGGTCTATAAAATCCCATTTAAACCCATTTCACCTTGACTCCTATGTCTATTGTTCCCTTGAAGCCTCCTCTTCCTAGAGTAATGCCTTCTTCCTATTCCAAGTTCCCATATGAACATCAGTCGCTCTTTGTTCCCAATTCAGATCTGTCTTAGAAGGAGTCCTCCCTGGATGTCAGCTGGGGGAGTTTGTTTTCAAGAGTATTAAATCTTCTGTGTTTACCTTCACTTCTGGATATGCAGATCCCCAGGATCCTTCAACATAGATAGAAAATGAGTCCCTTACTCTAAATAGAAACTGCAATGGGTGGGAAACTTCATCAAAAAATAATATGATTCAACACAATCTATCTCTACACGCATCTGTTGGCAAAATTTTCCAGTCAATGAGCATAACATTGGAGACCATCGTTATTTTGATTTGGCTTTTGTTGGTTGTTTGGTTTTTCAGGAGAATCAAAGGCCAGATTGTGAGATCTTCAATAGAAATGCTCAGAACACAAAGACCGCTAGGTAACAAAGGAGCTTTATGACAAGTCCCAGCTGTTGACTCCGGCCTGATGGCAGGTGCTGGGAACCCTTCTGGGGGAAGAACTAAAGGGAACTACTTTGATTATTCAGGCTCATTTCATATCCAAGAGAGACCTTTTTGTTTCTCTAACAAGATGAAAACATTACAGGCAAATTTTCTGACCTATTCCCAAAGGAGAGGTTGTTTTTTGTTGTTGTTGTTGTTGAGTTGTTTGTTTTGTTTTTTATAAGCTATGCCCTCTTACATCAGAGTGCAAAGAAAACTTGTTTGAGGTGATCAAGTTGGTTGTGTTAGGTACAAACTGGTGGCCTTATGAAAGTGCGTTGAGTATGGATAAAAGGCATGTTCTCATTGTAATAAAGCCCTGGGCATGAGGGAGAACAAGAATAAGTATCTAGCTACGTTTTCTCAGCTGATCACAAACATATTAATTGCATTACATGAGATGCACTTGTTGTGTTACTGATGCAATTATAGTGTATACATATGCTGTACTGTGTGTGAATATGAGGTATTGGATCAAACCTATTATTAAGGTCTGCAATTATCACCACCAATTGCCATAGCCTTAATCTTCTAGGATCAGTTTTACTGTTTACAGACATCACCGTGATTGTGAGTGCATCTTCTGAGCGGAGCCTTATCTGGACTTGGGTGTGTCCACATTGCCCTTGTGAGAGAGCTCTAAACCTTTGCTCAGTTTTACTTCTACTGTCAGCCCTGCTTCTGGCACCTGGACTCAGAGTGCGATTCTTCTGCATTGCAAACGAGTTTTCCCAGGAGAGAAAGTGAAACCCCAGGCATTTACCTCTATGGCATGCCTCTTACTTGAGGTTACATTGCTCCAGGTTCTGGTTTCCAGTACATTCTATTGCAAAAGGTAAAAACATGAGCATCACTTCTCATAAATGCATGGATTAATATTTTCAATGGCTGCACATGAAAATAAGCATGTGATGTTTATTAACAGAGATCTGAAAGATGGCTTGCATTTGTGATGGTTACTCTTGATTCTCAATTTGTTTGGATTGAAGGAATTTTACTGGATTAATATTAAGTGTATGTGGGAGGGCATTTCTGTAGGAGACTGGTATGTGAGACAGAAATTGAAGGGGGAGGACACAACCTGGAAGTGTAGAAAATCAGCCAATAAGAAAGAAAATTATACACATGGAAGTTGAAAGAGGAAGATCATAGGGTTCCTCTCTGCTCTCTGTGATTCCTGGCCCCAATGAGCTGCTTCCTCCATCCCATGCTCCTACTTCTATGATGCTCTGCTTTCCTTCGAGGCCAACACAATGGACCCAGCTAGCCAGGGGCTGAAATATCTGTTACTCTGAGCTAAACCAAACACTTCCCACTCCTTAATATGTTTCTATGGGATACTTTTTTCCATAGGTATGATTATGATTTAATATAATTAATCATAATTAATAATTTAATTGCACTAATGAGCCCTTGTGTTTGAATACTTGTTGACTAACTGGTGGCGCCAGTTCTGGAGACCTTTAGGAGGTGGAGCTAAAGTAGAGGTAGTGGAACAGCAATGGGTAGGCTTTGTGGGCCACAGTTGAATCCTGCTTGCAGCCACAGCTCTCTCTGTGTCCTGAAACACCCGTATATACGCAAGCTCCTGCCACTGTGAGGAGCTGCTCCACCAACATGCCTTCCTCACACTGGAGGACTGTATCTCCTAAAATTGTGAAATAAAATAAATTCTACCTCTGTCGGTTGATTTTGTCATTCTTTGGTCACAAGAGTGTAAAAAGTAATGAATGCCCTGCTAGAGGTCATCCCCCAGGCTAGTCTGATGTAGCTAATGGAGGAAGGTGCTTCTTTTAAACATATGTTTAAAGTAAAGAATACATATCCAGATAGGATATAGCCTTTATGTCCCAATGAATATAAACTCTGGTTAAACGGCTTGGTTGGTGTTTCACTTTCTATGACACTTGAAACTCAAAATATATCAAGTTGCAATTCCTTCTCAGAGGACTGTCAGTTTGGTCACTGATTCATTCTCTCTCTCTCTCTCTCTCTCTCTCTCTCTCTCTCTCTCTCTCTCTCTGTGTGTGTGTGTGTGTGTGTGTGTGTGTGTAGACGAGAGAATGACATCTGTGTTTTTCACTATCATTCTCTATCTCACCTTCTTAGGCAAGGGTCACTCACCAATCCCATACCTGAGCAATTGGCCAGCACATTATTTTGTCATCAACTCAGACAAAAGTCTATCACACATTGACGTTCTAGTGTTTTATATAATATACCGATTCTGTAATTATATGATTGTTACTTTTAAGTTCTCGGAAGATTAATAAACTACAATATAATAGGCACTGTTCCTGACACTGTTGATAACAGACCTAAAGAAAGCTAGAATAGACAAACAAGTCCAGTTAATGTGTCTATTGGACTCTTCCTAGATTTCTTGTACTTCCCTAAATTATCCTTACAGTAAAAACTCTACAAGGTTTTATTTTGTCCATTTCTTAAGCACAAGACTGAGGCCCTGGGATCTGAAGTAAATTAAGAGGTTTGTTTAGCTCTAGCTGAAATGGATGTCATGTACCCTTTAATGAAAATGCTTTCTATGAATGCATTATCAGGGTTGGGCGATGGCTCAGTGGAGGATGTCTCGACTAGTGTTTGCAGTGTTGGGTGTTATGCCCAGTGTTGCAAAAATAAATAAAAACAATAAATCTCATGATGAAAATAAATAACTTCATTAAGGGGTAAGTCATTGTGTGGTGCAGAAGAATCCCAGAGCCCTATGGGAATTCAAAGTAAGAAAACTAACCTTCCAAAGAGCTGCTATTAACTTCTTATCATTCCCTTCCCTAATTAAATTTCCCCTGAACTTTTCAAATGAAATTTTTTTACTTGTAATTACAAATATTTTCCTTTGGTTATAACATTTCCAATTCTTTAAAGAAGACATGGATAATGTTAAAAATGACTGACAAGTATTTTTAATCCTTCATACTTTTTTAAAAAGGTGATGTCTAGACATATGGGTAAAATGTACATGATACATTTCTTAGCTAATTGTCAGTGTATTGCTTAGTGACAGTGCTTCCTGCCAGGCTATCTAAATGTCATTAAATCCTGAAATTCTCTACATAATTAATAATACTAGATTGAATGGTTTGTAGCTGAGCAATTTTCTATTTCCATTCTAAAGAAAGAACATTAATCATTGCTCCTTCAGAACGGAATTGCTGTTTAGGAAAGTACCTAAGTGTCTCTGCTATTAACAGTGGCATGTAATACATTTGCTTGACTACAGAAAATAAGAAACAACAGTGTCCATTTGTATGGCGCTCAACAGCCTAAATCTTCTCCCCTGAAGTACTGAGTTGCTTACTGTTTGGGGGTTCATTAACTCTTATGTGACAATAGCTTAGGGTAGGAATATGCTCTTAAGAGTATCCTGGCACCAAAAAAAAAAAAAAAAAAAATCCAATCACTCTGGAAACTTTTGGAAACATTTCAGCATGTGAATTGCATTTGTTCTTCGATTTTCTCTCTTCTTTGGATGAGATTCAATTTTAATTCCATGTCTCATTTTGGAAAGTTAATTGAATCCATGGCTTAAACTACCAATCAAAAGAGAACTAGTTTACTTACAGCAGCTATATTAATTCTTACATAGCTTTACTTTTAAAGTGTGCATTAAGGTTGTTTACCTTGACAATCAGAAGCAAAGAAAACATCAGTAAAGTCAGTCTCTGGAGAAGCAATAAGCCCTGTAAAAAGAGAATTACTGAAATAACTGTTTTAGATTGTTAAAGCAGCAGAGTTCTCCTGCATGTGAATTTCACTCAGAGACAAACACTTAACATCTTAATGCAGAACACAGCATTAATTTGATGTATTCTTACAATGCTGACATTGCATTCATTGATTATTTAAAATGAGCAATTCAATATTTTTTGCTACTGTGACATCAATGATAAAATGCAATGTTATTTTACTCGTAAGATTATACAAGGAATGTGTGTAATCAACACAGACACCATCTAATCCTTAGCTTGACGTTGTGGCCAATACCAATTTTCTCGGCATTCCCCAAGGGAAAGAAAGAAGATTTTGAGTTCAAGATCAGTTTAGGCTACAGAACAAGTGTGAGGCTAGCTTAGGGTATATGACACAGCCACAAATGAATAACAAACACACAAGTGTTGTTTCTGCTGACTTGCATACATTTGACCTGAGTCTGTTTCTATATGTCTAAAATTTTCCACCCATGCCTGAATTCCACTGAAAATTTCCTTCTGTGAGAAGATCTCTCTCTCTCTCTCTCTCTCTCTCTCTCTCTCTCTCTCTCTCTGTGTGTGTGTGTGTGTGCGCATGTTATTTATATCTATTTAGGGTCCTTGTTCTTTCACATCCTACTTCCTGCCCCCAAGATTTTCTCCATAATGCAGATGTGCCTGCTGTCAGTATTTTAAGATTTTGCTAAGGTCTGTGGTGCATTCAGTGAACTCTACCTTGATCCAGACTTCCCTTGTCTGGTTAATATGAAGAGGTTTTTAGGTTAATAACCAGTCATTTCTCATGTTAATACTTAAGGTTACTCTGCCTGCTGTGCAGGCAATACCATTGCTGCATGGTGGGCAAGTTCATGCTGTGAAGAAGATTCCACAGCTAACAAGACAATGCCCCCTCCCCAGTCTCTCTCACCATATCTCTATTCTCTCTATTACTACAGTTATGGGACTGATCACATCAGGTCTTACATCATGCTCTCAATTACAACATTTGGTTTTCCCAGGGACAAAAAATACCCATATTTGGGAACTTTGTTTGGGTAACACCACTTCAATATTCTTGTACTGCCTGTGTGTGTTGACACTTGTGAGCGGTCACATGGCACTTCTGCCTTTTCCTGCCTTTCCCTCTGACTCAAGCTTCTCCACTGATCCCCAGCACTCTG